TATTTGTATTTTGTTACTATCTCAATTGGTTGTCCATCAATGTGTAAGGGCAGAGGAGTAACATTTCTAATTGTGAAAAACATGCATTTAGTTTTGAGAAGATTCAGTTTCAGGCCCCACTGTTGAGACAAGGTATAAAAAGCTGAAAGTTGGGTCTGGAGTCGTGCTGTTGCTTGGGCAATGTCAGCATCAGAGGAAAAGAAGGCTACATCATCCGCATACTTTGTACAGTGCACACCTGGGACGGAAGGGATGTCACTCATTACAACATTAAAAAGTAGCAGGGACAAAATGGCTCCCTGTGGGACACCAGCCTTAATCCTGTGCAATGTAGAATACTCACCTTCAAAAAAGACATTGAAAGTTCTGTCTGACAAATAATATCTGAGCTAGCGCAGCAATCTTCCCTGTACTTCACATCTAATCAGCTTGTACAAAAAGATTGTGTCAAATGCATTAATGAAATCACAGAAGACAACAGCAAGCACAGACTTTGTCCTGAGGCTATTTCGAATTGCTGTGTCTAGACCAGCTACTTGGTCAATTGCAGCTAAGCAAGGTCTGAAGCCTACCTGACAAGCCCTAAATGAATTATTTTGCAAGAAAAAATTGCAGGCGTTTATTCATCAACTGTTCCATTAGTTTGGCAACACAGGATAGCAAGGAGATTGGATGGTAAGAGTTGGTAGAAGTAAGCACCTTGTTGGGCTTGCGAATGGAAATTATTAATGCTGTCTTCCACTCGTGTGGAACTGTCTCAGACTCAAAGCTCTTATTAAAGAGCCTCAGCAACCATAACTTATAGTCAGGAGGAAGGTGAGAGATGTTTGTTATGTATGCAATCAAGACCAGGAGATGTATTCTTAAGATAAGTCAGGCATGTTTCAAATTCATACAGTGTGAATGGGTCATTGAGAGGAGAACAAAGATCAGTATTTAAAGCAAGAGCCAGAGGGAGTATAATATGGTTAGGATAAGGTGAGGGGGTTGGTGAGGAGAGTACCTGGCTCATAATGTTCTGCCAAGGCTTCCACCTTGGAAGCAGGGTCAGAGAGAATTAAATTAGACTTCAGAAAAGGTTGTGACTTGCGTGTAAATGGAGTCTGGAGTTTTCTTATCCTATTCCACAAAATGGTAATTGAGGTGTCAGAGGTTATGCTGTTACAAAACTTCTTCCATGAGGCCTTGTTGGCTGCCTTAACCTCCCACTTGACTTTAGCCTGGGAATGCTTGAAATTATTAAGATTTTCCTGTGAAGGCTGGGAAATAAGTAGTGCCTTTGCTGCTCTACTTGTACTAACTGCCTCAGCACATGCTTGGGTCCAGACCTTATTATATTTGGCAGTTATGACATCTTTGCTTTGTGGGAATGCTTCAGTGCTAGCTGAGACTATATTTTGCACAAAGCTCTTAAGACTAAAAGGGAAGATCATTATTAGCCTGAGGCAGTGCAGAATACCAGGTTGCCCAGGATACTGCTTCAAACAACCATGCAGGACGGTGCCTGTACTGGATAGTGGTAGGTTCCACTCCGACAGAGGTGAGGACAGGGTAATGGTCACTGCCCATGTCAGGTTCAGTAGAGGTAAAGGAAAGAGGCTGCAGGTTTGATGAAATGACAGTAAGATCGAGAGTAGAGAATGAGTTATGATAGGTATTGAAATATGTGGGCAGTTCTGGAGGTGTAAGTAGGGCTAGCATTGGGTTATGAAGTAGGACCTCCATCAAGTTTATACCAGTAGTGTTTGGTTGGCTCCCACATGGGGTGGTGAGCATTGAAGTCTCCAACAACAATAGCTGAATGACTTATTGTTGGAAAAAGTGTTGGAATTCATTAAAAGTAATAGGTTGATTAGGATTATATATATTCAGGATAGAGATGAGTTATTCTTCAGGAACACCTTCAAACGCTGAACTTCCAGGGCACCAGCAGGGAAAGGTTGAAGAGGTATTTCAAGGAATGGGATGTCATTACAGATTAGCATGGCTAAAGCTCCAGCTCCCTGGCCTCCATCTCTATGCTTGAATACTGCTGAGTAACCTATGAAATGAGGTTCTGCATTCTGATCTAGCCATGTTTCACATAAGTAAATTACATGGGGTTTGGTAATGTATATATGCAGCTTAAATTTGCTTAATTTATTCGTTAGGCTATGGCAGTTCCATTGTTCAATTTTTATTTCTTTTTAGATGGGCATTTTAGATTATCATCCTGTGTTGATGAGCCTTTGTATTTCCCCCCTTGGTTTTTACCTCTTGCAGCATATATTTTACCATCATGAAGTGGAACAGTCAGGTTTCTTCACCATGGCATCCCTGGGCTGCAGAAACTGGCCTCCGATGGTAGGGGAGGGTTGCATAATGATAGTACTGCCATCCAACTCACATGATGATCCAAGGATGACAGAGCTGCATACCTGAGGCCAGAACTGGCAGAAACACATGCTGCTGGTCGTTTGGTAACCTTACCACTCTGTGTTGCAGTGAGCTGGGGTTTACCGAGTTGTTGGTCTTTCTTAGCAGGTACTGACCACCTATGATGGGTGACTGCTCTGGCTCAGAGTCCACTATCTCAGGGCTTGTCTCCACAGGTTCCAAGTCGCAAGGTGTAACTGCATGCAATTCAGGAGTTGGTTCATCAAAGGCTTCAGACTCGTGTAGAGGAAGAGTGGGCAGAGAGTGGGCAGATTTGTGGTTTTGAATGTCTCCTCAGCAATCCTTGTTAGTGCTTCAACAATATCAATATTGGCAGTATTGCCACACAAGCATAAAACCTTTAAAGGCAGCTCTATTAATTTTTGGAACAGAAATATCTCCACATGGAGCTGGAAGAGGCTCATGGCTGTCTTAAGTTTGGGTGGCGACTGACCTTGTTGCAGTTTCTTGGCATCGCACAAGCTCAGCTCTGTTAAATACATTACATGCATCAGAGGACTGTTGGTTTAGTTGAAGAAATCTGTAAAGGAGGATTCAGTAGTTCTGGCTGTCTCTGAGCAGCTTTAGAAGGCTGTGTCCTGTTAACCACTTTGACAGCATCTCGGTAGGACATTATTTTGACTGTCCGGGTCTGCTCAACCTGAGTCTCAAACTTCATTCGAGGGCATCCACCATAATTGGCTGTGTGAGGACCTCCACAGTTGCAGCACAGTGACTTTTTGACTGAATTACCAGCATTGGGACAATTCTTGACATTGCAGGGACCACTAGTCACTACATCCAAGTGATGATCCAACACATTGTGGTGGATTTTTACAGTCAGCCGCATTGTGACAAAAGCACTGGCATTTGAAGCATTGTCATGGCTTCCCAACATAAGTGTCTACTCTGAAGCACTGATAGCCCAGGTAGATATATGGAGGCAGAGTAACCGTGGCAAAATTGACCATGAAGCGGCTTGAACATTGCTGTTTTAGTCCTGTCCTTGCCCTTACAGATTCTTTCTACATTGGCTTCAGGGTGGCCAACAGAACTCAGCTCCGAAGAAAGATCAGCATCAGATAAATCTTCACCAAAAGGACCAATCACTCCAACACAGTGAGTTTGATTATGTGGAAGTCTGCACTTAACATTCCAGGAACCTATTTTTGTCACAGACAGGAGCTCAGGCAAACAAGTTACAGTTGCTTCCAGGATGACAACAAGAAGGTTGGGGGCTAAGTTTTTCTTAATCTGAAAAATACGGCCTGTCCAAAAGGTGAGGTGGCTAGAGCATTGCTCAGCACCAAGTCACTTGAAAAGAATTTTGAGGATGGTTGGTCATTAGAACTAGGTTCAATTATCAGTGAATTTACCACTACAGGTCTTTCAGCAATCAGCATATTCAAAGTTCTGGATCTGGGTTGTACTTTTGCTAGTAGTCACTCTTAAATTGTTGCACACTCGTGCCTTGTCACTCTTAGTAGTAGTAGTAGTAGACTAGTAGATAGAGTTAAATTAACAATTCCTGAAGTTCAATTTATATGAGCACTGAGCAGCATTAATGACTGGCTGAAACCTCTTGACTCTTCCAACCGGAGTTCCATAGGCATAGGTAGCTACCTGCAATTGACTGGAAACCCTCAAAATTGGTGTTTGTTTTCCCCTTTTTGCGTCTTTAAACAGTACTGAAGCTTGGTGCTGATGACTGTCCCGCACAGTCAACTAAACGGACTGAACCGCTAGCTAAGGGGGCTGTAGAGCCTGTAATTTGAGACAAGGCAGGAAGTTTATCACTCACTCCAGAATCCAGTGTCCACTCAGTATGATTAGCCAACTGGGACTCACACTATTGGCTATTCCTTGTTCAACCAATCAGAACCAAAATGTTCGGTTTAGGCGGCAATCGGCAGTGTTGCCACCTTAACCGAAGTGTTGAGACTGTCGAAAGTGTCGAAATTTAAAGTACTCGTCTTGTGCAAAATAAAATTGTGTCAACGACGAAAATAATATAAGAAAGTCAGGGTACATTTTTTTCATGAAAAAGGCCACAAACGGACAAAAAGGTCAAATAAATTTTCTCAGGCCAATCCACTTGAAAAATGTCACATTTGCAAAATTTGGCTTGAAAATGCCCATCTGGCAACACCGAATTTCCAGGGTGATTGTCCTGGATGATTTTGGTACTACTACCAGTATCTATTAAGAATATCGCTTTTCCGTCGGCATGATGATCAGTTTCGTGATCACGAGCAGAATGTTTTCTTACCGGTTGTCCAGGAGATAAAGGTTCCGATGCAACGCTTTCATCGTCGGAAGAGCGGGAGGACCAGGATGTATTGCCTTCTTTTTTGCGACGTTTGCCGGTTTTCATTTCGCCAGTTGTACTTACTAGCGAAGGTCCCAACTCGGTTTAATTTCAAATATCAATCTTTGATTTCCAAAGGAAGGCACTCGACACAGACGGCTGCGCACCCTGTCAGACCACCCCTGTGCATCAGATCCCAGATAATTTCGAACTACCAATTGAACTCTCTCCAAGAGTCCAGAAGTTAGGGCAGGATGGTTTCAGGAATAAAAATCGATTCTGTAATTTGGATATTATATTTCTGTAATCAATACAATAACCACTAGAGTTTTTAATGAGCAACAATCAACCGAGTCCCAGTTTAAATACGAGACTCGAGCGCCACGTTGTCGTGTGTGGTAGTTTACTATAAGGCAGCATGGTTACTAATTATACAAATTATTTCTGTAATCAATAAAATAACCACCAGAATTTTTTATGGACAATAATCAGGTTTAAATACGTGGCTCGAGCGTCACGTTGTCGTGTGAGGTGGTTTACTAAAGTCAGCATGGTTACTGATTATAAAATATTTTTGTATTTGAATATTATATTTTTGTATTCAATAAAAACGCCACCAGAGTTTTTATGAACAATAATCAAGCGGGTTTTACGAGACTCGAGCGCCACGTTGCGTGTGTGGCGGTTTACTATAAGACAGCATGGTTACTGATTATAAAATATTTCTTTTATCTGAATATTATATTTTTGTATTCAATAGAAACGTCACCAGAGTTTTTTATGGACAATAATCAGGCGGGTTTCGGTTTAAATACGGGGCTCGAGCGTCACGTTGCCGTGTGCGGTAGTTTACTATAAGGCAGCATGATTACTGAGTATAAAATATTTCTGTAATCAATAAAATAACCACCAGAGTTTTTTTTACAATAATCAGGCGGGTTTCAGTTTAAATACGGGGTTCGAGCGCCACGTTGTCGTGCGTTGTGGGCTCTCCAAGCAGCGAGTTGCGAAGTTTGGCCTCACGGCGCCTTTGCCACGCGACCGTGGCCAGCAAGGCTAACACGCAGCACGCAGCCACTACACTCATCACTCCCGTCGCCACCTTGTAACCCTGACCGTCACTGGTTGGTGAAGCGGCTGAATTTTGTGGAGACTTCGCTGCCATGGCCTGAAGAACAGCACAGATAAGTCAGAAGTTTATTTAGGAAATATTCGACCGATCTTTGACACAGAAAAAAAATTGATCGCGATTGCACAGTATCAGTCTCTGGACGAATATGGAAGAGCCGAAGGCAGCGTCTTGTGGAGATTTTGTTGCCTTGGACTGAAGGAGGGAATAGGTTAGCCAGAAGTTAATCAAGTGAAAATTCCACCTGTATTTGAAAATAAAAATAGATCGCGATTACACAGCATCAGTCTCGGGACGAATATGGAACAGCCCGATGGCCTAATTGAAAAGAACATAGGGGAAAGTTGTCGAAATCTATTTGCGGCATTTACGCTTTCGTGTCATCGATATCGGACACAAAAAACTGGGATGGTTCTATTGAAATATAAAAGAAATGTTCAATTTTTTAGTACTTTATGCAATAAAAAGTACAGGCATTGCATGATTAAGTAAGATTTGCACGAACAATTTTACATTCATTGCAATATATTGGTTACTTCTCGTCCGGACGCTGATTTTTTTCAGTGGTTTTAAATGGACAACTTTAACCCACCAATGCCAACGCATGATGATCAGCTGCCTTAGTCGTGTTGTAGCCGTACTGGTTGTAGTTCCAGCGCGTGACGAAGTCGTACAGCAAGCTCATGTTGTCGCTGATCATAAGGAACTGCTCTTCATCAATGGTGAACGCCTCCCATTTGGGCGTAAATTCCGTCCACTGACCAGGATTACCGCTTTCTTCTTCAGGGGTGGGGTTCCTGAAAATAATGCCGGACCTCTAGTTTAACAGTGAGCAATTTTAGGGTTAGGCAGACTACGAATCTCTAGTTCAACAGTAATCAAAAGAACGGCTTAGAGCATGTTGGACCTCTGATCCAAATAAACTGATCACGGGATTGATATGGCCTTCCTGTTTACTTATCTTAAGAATTTGAGGCAGTAAAGAAACTTCTGACAAGAATCAGAAAATCTCGGCACCAAAAGAGATCACGAATACTAAAAAACAAGTGTTGCAAATAAAGATTTCCAAATAGGTTAATGCGATACCTGATCTGAAGTTATAGATGCATGAAAGGCGAAGACGATTCAAATTACTTTCTTACTCTATCGGTCTGGTTTTCCAATAAATATAGTTTCATAAATATTAGATGGTTTTATGGCTAAATAAAGTCTTTTGTGAGTTTTGGGTCTAATTAGTCTGTTACTATCATCATTTTGTTATCTCTTTTAGCATGCGATTATCCCGATCGTGGTGACAAACTCATCTAACGTTTGCAAGGATTACAAAAATTCTGACACTCCTAGCGCTGTTTCATGTAAACTTGTCATGTACATGGCAGATATCGTTGTCAAAAACAGTTCAGAATGACATCGCATGATGTAGAGGAGAACATGCTGAAGCCCACGAGATGTTATCACATTCCGTCGACCATAACATGTCATCATCCCCTGTTAAATATTACGAAATATGATCACATTCCTCATTGAAACATGCGATTACAGGCCGAAGACCACGAAGCCTAAACCTGAACAGTGGACGTTCCATCACATAACGCTGACTTACGCATGAAAAGAACATGCTACAGGCGACGAGATATCATTCCATGCCGTAGCTCTGAACACGCTTCAAATGCAACAGTTGTAAACCTGACTTTACAGACCCAAAACTTGAACATTTTTTCACTATGAGAGTTATACGAGTTGAGCTATTTTTGTTTGTGAAGCAAGCTGCCCTGTCGACTTATAGGCGATTGCGTGGATGAATGTATCCACAGAGTGAGCGTCATCCGTGCTACTCACCCATATTTGGCAAAGTTCGTGAAGAAGGTAGTATGCCTTCGGACCATGTTCTTCTCGCGCTCGGTGTTCAGCAACGCCGGCAGATCAAACAAGTATAGGAGGTCGTCAGCGTGACACACACCTTAGAAGAAATAAATGCACGTGATATAAAATGTACAACACCCATTTCATCCGCGTAGGCGTGGTGGAGTCGGTAAATTGAAGATCTAAAATGTTTGTCTCTAACGGTTGTTGTGGACCTTAAAGAAGATAAAAGTATCTTATACTGGTGCCTATGTAATAATCATGCTTAATTAATACAATGTTCGAAATAGCCGAGGAAAACGCTCTGAACGGCGTTCTTATGACCGGCCACCTCGCGGAAAAAACATTTCAGCGTTTTTCTGCAGTTGTGCGGGTTTCTGATGTTAAAAGGTTGCAAATATGTGACACGTACCGGCCAGTCACTAAAATGCCGGTAAAACCGTTTTACGTTGATTTTTCGAACAGTATATAACATCAAACGACACGAGACGATAAGTAACTGGAAGGCATGCTACTTCGAAAGCAGAAGTGTTAGAAGTAAGTTACTCAAACAAACATAAACATAAATTTCTTTCCTTCTACCGCAGTTTTTCTAAGCTCTTGGCACATGAGGTGCTTAAATTTCAGATGTGATCTTATGTGTCCCAGAAATGCATTCTATGGATAAGTTACTGGCTTATTGTGTAATAAACTACCTCCTTCAATTGGAATATCATTGTCACTGATGAAGATCCAGTCGAACAGTGAGTTTTTGGACTCGAACTCGAATGAGTAGAAGAAAATGGGCGCTTCTGCGGTGACTCCATCATCATCGTTGACTTTCTTCATCTCGTGGGCCAATGTCCACATGCCAGACTTGAGGAACATCATCCCGCTCAGCTGATCAATATAATAATATATTATTATATCAATAATATTATAATATAATGCGCAAATTCAATATCTAGGTTTTAATTTGATGTCCGACAAAACTTATGTAAGATTATAAATTCGTCATCTGTTACATGAGAGCAATTTGTTAATAGTGACATAATATAAAGTTACGTTAAACAATGATGACGATCGGAACATTTAGAAAAAATTACATAAGTGTTTACACATTAGCACGAAAACGTTAATACATTCATACCCACCGTCATAAAATAAGTAAATAGCATATATTCAAATTTACTAGGAGAGTTTCAATAGAACCCAATTGGTTATTTACAAGGCAAAAATGCCACACATTTTTCACACTTTTGTGGGAAATCCTCACTTAGGAGAGTTATGCCTGTGCAATAAAGTGAAATAATAAACAAGTTTTTCTGAAATTCGATATCCAATTATAATTATTTTTTGTCGACACCTGCCAAATGAATGCAATTAAAAAAAATTTAAAACAAACAATGAATCTACTTGCGCCAACTCTAGACATTGTATTTTTTGAAAAAATCTTTATAATACGTTTCATTTGGCCAGTTTCAACATTAAAAATCCTAATCAAATTGCAAATTTCAAAAATAGTGATTTTTAGCGGTAATTTATGACAAAAAGTTGGCTCATTCAAAGAATAATCCTACTTAATTGTCTGTGTGTACTCACGTCCACAATTCCTCCGACCATCGTGTCCCAGTCCCCCAGGGGCACGTCTTTGGGCATGAAGCCCAGCCGGAAGGAGTTGGGGGCAGCGTTGGTGACGTCATTAATTCCTGGCAGATTGGGAATAGGATATAATCACTCAAAGAAATGAGTACGGCCTTGTCCATAAACAGCGCACTCTTTGCCATGATATAGGTCATCTTGACGCAGTTTGACCAAGTGACGTCATTAGTTCCTGGCAGGTTGGGAATAGGTTATAATCACTCAAAGAAATGAGTACGGCCTTGTCCATATAAACAGCGCACTCTTTGCCATGATATAGGTCATCTTGACGCAGTTTGACCAGGCAATGAGCAACGTGCAGAAAGTGTGTCCAAATTTAAAAATATGGCATTTTTTTCTACGTGATTAAGCGTCTTCTAACAAACATCAATGTAATCATGCATGTAATGCAAGTTTTTTAAAGTTAATATTATTTCGGGCACGATCTCGTACAAAAGAGATTGTGAATATTTATTGTAAGCATCCTACATTATTATAAATTGCCAAATTCAGCCAGATAATAAAACATTACGAGCTTTATATTTTATAAATTATAAATGGAATTTATATTTATAAATTCTTATGTCAAAACACTTTCTTGATAGAGCATCTTTTTAAAAATAGTCAGATAAAAATGAATTATTGCTTCCGTTACGACAGTGCTTATCGTATTTAAGTTTAGGCTTATGTTTTTAAATGTCACTGTATTTCAACCTAAAAAATCACTTACCGAACGCTATGGCGATCAAGGGGAACATGTCGTTCTTGAGGAACTCCGCATCGTCGGTGGTGTGGTTGTTAGGTAGCATGTAGCCTTCGTACATCACTGTAATCATGTGATAGTAGTCGTTCAAATCACTATCAATATGCAATAATGATTAATAGCGAAAAATGTGCCCAATACATCATGTCGAAAAGGAGCTAATTCAAGATTTGTAGCTGAAAATTAACTTGCTACTCCTACAGACAAAACTTTATTTCTGTTTGGTGTAATATTGTAGCATTATTTTTATGGTGCGTGTAAATGTACTTATATTGACTTTCATTTCAAATTCACAAATTAACCAAAAATATTTATTCACAGGATTGGTAAAACCTGAAATGCATTCTAAAATCAATTGATATGAAATATTCCAAAATGAATTACATTGGGATGGGTGAAATATTCCTTCCATTGAGATATATTTTCGGAACCCAAATATACATTCATGAAAATAAAATGACATCTCTGAATATAAGATCCGTCCTGATCGTTCACCCCGTTCTGTCCCTGACCTTCGTTCGTCGCCACCGGTGAAAATACTCGCGTCCTGCGACGAGGGATCCTTCGTCCCGGCCTTTTTTCGTTAACATTGAAAATACTCTCGTCCTACGACGAGGGATCCTTCGTACCAGCCTGCCCCTGACCTTCGTTCGTCGCCACCGGTGAAAATTAATTGCCAATTGTGAATGTGAATTTATTGCTAATTGTTTGTACCTGTGTTTTAGGTTTTGAACTGATGATGGAGCTGGTCTCCGAAACGTTTTCCCTTTTAAGAAATGGTGAATTTTCTGGTTATTTTCTTTGCTTTTAAATTTTTGATAAACTTGCGATTTAAGCAGTCAAGTGATTTTAATACTCAGGTCCTGCGACGAGGGATCCTTCGTACCAACCTGCCCCTGACCTTCGTTCGTCTCCAACAGTGAAAATACTAACGTCCTGCGACGAGGGATCCTTCGTACCAGCCTGCCCCTGACCTTCGTTCGTCTATCCCCAACAATTAAAATCCTCACATCCTGCGACGAGGGATCCTTCGTACCAGCCTGCCCCTGACCTTCGTTCGTCTCCAACAATGAAAATACTCACGTCCTGCGACGAGGGATCCTTCGTCTCTAACAGATCCTGTCATGGTGGGCACGTGTAGATAACGCCCGGACTTTAGCAGGTCGATGGGTTGCTCAGGAATGACGATCTCGAGTCCATCAACATCGCTGACTTCGGTCTGAACAACGGGCACCTGACCGATGAAGCCCAGGCCCCCGTTCCTTCGGTCCTTACTCTGCACGGATGGTTTAAGCATATATAATATGACAATTATGCCAGTTATGAAATATAAATTCCCTTATTTTTCATATAAGAGAAAACGATTCGGACAAACTTTTTCATCTTAATAAAAAATCAGAAACAAAAAGTTCATGTGATACCTTCATAGGGTTTATGAAATTGAGGCTTCTTCAGCAAAATGCTTTCAATGAATTCGCTCCAAATGGAATATTTTTTAATGTCATGACTTTATTTTGGAAACTATATGGTTCTGTGCAACCTTAAATGATTTTTACCATACATTAACAAACCACAATGGAGCTCGAAGTGCACTGTTTAAAAATAGACTTATACTCAAGTCATAAAAGTTTTCATACGTGCGCTAACTTTCTATTTTCTCTCAATAATCTATCCAACCTTGTCAAGACATCCTGAGTGATATACAAACCGATTCATTTCGCTACTGTCAATTGAGTCCATAAGAAGTATTGTTGAATCAATTTCATTCAATGAATGAAAATAAGTCTTAACAAACTTACGTAGACTCTCAAAGAAGCCCAGACGACGTCATCCAAAGGTAGCTCCACCATGCAGGCAACCATTTCAGCTTCCGTTGCATTCGTCGAGCAGCCAGTTTCTGCTACCTGCCCTCAGAACAAACATTAATTTAACGAACTCCGAGCAAGTGAATCTAATTAAGTGCGAAGCCTTTTTCATTGGCTTCACTAAGGTTTCGTTGGCTTACTGCTAAGGGTTTTAAGGTTAGGCAAGATTTATTATGTACAGTGAGCAGCCCGCTCCCACTGATGGTTGATAGATTGGGATATACCAAATCCAAGGAAAATGGCACATGTAAAAACATAAGATCTGAATTCAAGATCCGTGTTCTTCAAGGATTATTGGATTAATAATCGAAGAATCAATTAATAATTTTAAATATTTTTTTTGAAAATCTTAGGAGTTTAAAGCAAAAAATATTTTTGCTTTAAATCCTTTAGGAGTTTAAAGCAATCTTTTTTGAGGAGTTTAAGGCCAAAATTATTCTTTATCAACTACTTCGGCTCATTTCGAGCGGATGATTTTAATATATCATTATGCAACCTAACGCTTGCGCGAGTTTGATAATCCCTGAGATTTAAGAACTCTTTATCAAATAACCCAAACTGCTACACTCAGAATTTCAAAGATAAAGGAATATAAATTGAAGAAATACTCATTAGGACTTTCAATTCTTTCTGAATATTTGACCCTCTACCGCCGTGTGTCACTCTGATGGAACATAACTTTCAACTTGAATTATACGTTAACTATTGAGTGTAGCAACCTGAGGACGTTTGTACGCAACAGAGAACATTTCAAAGTTGTACGTGGCGGCAACCATCAGTGCAAGTCAATTAGCGCTCACTAGAACGTATCCTTTTTGGGAAGTAGGCTTGTGACAATATTGCTCCGGTTACTCATGTCAGGCGGTAGAGGGTTAAGCCAGCGTTCTCGATCAAATGAGCGCTCACTAGAACGTATCCTTTTTGGGAAGTAGGCTTGTGACAATATTGCTCAGGTTACTCTCATGTCAGGCGGTAGAGGGTTAATCCCACTTCTAATACTGTAGGGTAAAACTCTACAGCATTAGGGTAAAACTCTACAGTTTGATGTAGGGTAAAACTCTACATCTAAAAAATGTTGATGGTCTACCTGCGTTCTGAAAGAATTGTAAGGGTCATGTTCGATGGTCCAATACTCTAGCGCTGAGCCGCTCATGGGCGCAAAGCGGTGAGCCAGAGCCTTCCCGTTATTTTGTTCCGCAGCTGAAAAGAATTATTGAAAAAATTATTAATCTTGTTTGTGGTAACATATGAACTCTAAAGTATGCTCAAAAATTTGCTCAAGGTTTTGGACTTACTGAGGTCGATTGCTTTTGCAAGCGTAAAAAACAGCAAACGTATAAAATACTCTTCGACTTTGATGCTAACCCAAGCTGTTTCGATACCCGCACTGAAATCTATGGACAATGTTAGATGGGTTTATCCAGTACTTTGCTTAAAATTGGATTTTCTTTAGAAGATATCTTGTGAAGATAAGAAAATCAACACAAATTTTCAAGAGTCAAGGTTGAATCTTTCAAACTTCGTTGCGAAACTGCATGCGGTTAGCAACGCTGTTGCTTTCCGCAAAAATGGATCTGCCACTCACTCTCTTTAAGACCCATTTGCTGTCTGTAAGATTCACCTACCGTCTGTAAGACTCACTTGCTGTCTTTAAGACCCATTTGCTGTCTGTAAGACTCACCTACCGTCTGTAAGACTCACTTGCTGGCTGCAAGACTCCCTTGTCATCCGTAAGACTCACATCTTGTCTGTAAGACCCACTTGCCGTCAGCATTTATATTTTTAACCCTAATTAAATCACCTAATAAAGGACTCAGTTGCAGGAGGGATGTGCTGGCACCACCTGCACTCTGCCCGAATACCGTCACCAGGTTGGGGTTGCCTCCGAAATAAGAGATGAATTTTTGTACCTGTCAACCGAGTTAGGTTATTATTTAGGGAATAATAATAATACTGTCACTTTCACCAGGTCAGTGACAGAATAATACCGTTACCTGGTTGGGGTTGCCTCCGAAATAAGAGATGAATTTTTGTACCTGTCAACCGAGTTAGGCTATTATTTAGGGAATTATATCATGAAAATTCCCGAAAATATTGTTTATATAATAATGATTTTTTATAAAATACATACCCTGGTAAACTAGAATATAATTTAAACAAAGTTCGCTGCAACAACTTTTATTGTAAATTAAAGTTTTCTATAAATAATTTTCCAATAAACTTTAATCCTTTAACCGGAATTATGTATCTAAGCATGCCTGTTAATCTGCTGGAATGTGTTTACCGTGGGTCGGCCTTCAATATTTATTATCTTGTGTACTGCTCAGAGAATCAATACAAGCACATACAGGGAAATAAAATTGTCAGAAACGTGAGAAAATTTCAACCAGAATTTCAAACTGTGCTTGAGGTATACACCATTAAACTTGTGCACTGTACAGATAACAACAAAATGTCGTTTCTCGCCTTAATGTTCTTAAATTAAATGCCACCGGTGCTTTCAAAAAATATTTGTGTTGTGAAATATACAGCCTTTTTTTTAAATATACAGATTTTTCCGCTACAACTGCTTCGCTTACCCAGCGCAGGGCTACGATCTGGTCATGTAGACCCATGTTTCCCGGAGCATCTTCAGTGCCCGAGTAGAGGAAGCCTGCGGGCAAAATACCTCATTAGAATCACTGTTATATTTAGCCTACATTTATGTACACTGGCTTTTATGAGGTTATGTCCAATAACGATGTTCAATCATTTTCTATTATTTAACAATTGAAACCGATGATAGGTTTATCCAATACATCCATTAAAACTCGAACCCAATTTAGAATGAGTTTAAGAGCATTAATTCATACATTATTTAATCAGCGTTTCAGTTTCTGATTGAAAAATCTAACGTTATAATTGGCCTAAAATTATCACTATAACTATTCGAATAATAGAGTATATTCCGATGTTTTTCATTATTTTTAAGCTAAAGTGATTAATATTAATGAAGTCAAAAATTTGTTACAAAATTATTCATTTATGAAAAATTAATCTTTTAATTTCTAAGCCTTCATAGCTGCAATATTTTGCTGTCAGAGAACAATAATTGAATGCATATATCAGTGCTTGGGCACCGCTTGCTTTTTTCACTTGGTTTTTCACCAAAAAGTAATTTAAAGTACAGCGCTAACTTATGCCTCCAGTAGTAGTTTTGTTATTAATATTTACTATTGTTATCTTGTGATATGCTAGAAGGGGCGATTCGATCATATTTAAATGCATTCGCCACTTCAAATAATTCATATAGTTTTGATGAAGCGACAATCAAAAATAGAATTATTCTATTCCCATTGTCCTGTTTCCATGTATTTTGATTTTTCATGGTAAATATTACAGTTTGTTTGCACTCACCCAAAGTTCCGAGTCGGTACTGCACAACAGCAACTACGACGTCTTTGTCGAGGAGTTTGGATGGCATGTAGAGCGTCGCGTCGCCGGACATGTACGCTCCTCCGTGGATAAAGAACATCACCGGCAGAGCTGCAGACTCTGCGTCGCTGAAGTTCTGCTCAAAATCAAGCTTGTTATTTTGAGTAGTATTACATCAAAATTTGAAACAAATAAAGTATTTAATGTTTCTGATTTAATCATTGTTGAAACTATTATCTCGAAAAATGCTTTCATTTGTTAACAGATATGGTTGTGTTTGTCGAGTCATACCGCGAAAGTTTTGAACAAGAAGTCGACAAATCTCACAGAATATATCGAAATATATTTTAATGAAAGCCACTCCTCAGTTATTCTCCATTAACCTCCAGCATGAATCGTATGGGAATAATTCTCATAAAAAAACATTACTTGCATAATAATGTAATAATTAATGTTTTTGCATTGTAATAATCTCATTAATAAATGATAATTGACGCTGATGGAGGAGGTTCACACTGAAATGTAAACTGTTTGCGATCAGAATAGGGGAAATATTTGTGTTGTAAATATCAATAGAACACACAAAGTAAACAACTTAGAACTATAACTTAACATAACTGACATTGAGGGGAGAGTAAACGCTGACGTGGAGGCAGTCTTCGCTGCCAGCAATGACAGGAGCGACGAGGGACTTCTGAGGGCAGCGGTCCCTGAAGGCTGTAGCGTCGTAGTCTGAACCATCGCTGGTCAGCGGCTCTTCGTAAAGCTCCGAGTACTGTACACATCAGTAAACTTATAAGTCATTAATACTCCTAAACTTATCAGTGATTCATAATCATATTAAACTCATACTCGTAAACTTATCAGTAATTCATGGTCTTAGTAAACTCATACTCGTAAAATTATCAGTCATTCATACTCATAAACTTATCATTCATTAATACTCATAGTAAACTCGTACTCATAAACTTAACAGTAATTCATGGTCATAGTAAACTCATACACGTAAATATCAGTCATTCATACTCATATTAAACTCATACTCGTAAATATCAGTCATTTATACTCATAGTAAACTCATACTCATAAACTTATCAGTCGTTCATACTCATAGTAAACTCATACTAATAAACTTATCAATCATTCATACTCATAGTAAACTCATCCACATAAACTTTTTAGATTTTATTTAGCATAGATTTTTTTTAAGGTTTGTTTTTTTTTTTTTTTTATTTATCCGATTTTATTTATCATAAAAGATGCAACAGAGCTGTAAATAGACATTGAGGAAAAAGACATGTACCAGTAACCACTATAATTTGTCCGTTTAAAACGTAGTCGCTGAAAGTCTCACTCCAGATATATTCTTACACTGAACCTTGCAGGCTGTGCAGCATATCTGATACTGTGGAAGGCGCTGAAGGGCCTGTCGAAGAACGTGGTCAGAACCCGTCCTCTGATGGGACCCAGCACTCCTGCAGTCACTAGCGGCGCCTCATCGATGGCCAGCGGCGTTTCATCGATGGCCTCCTCAGCCTCATGATCGGATCCTTTGAGTGATGTTGCCCTGTGAGCCGTCAGAGGATGGCGACTGTGAAGATAACGGACTGGATCGTTTACTTTAAAGTGCAAGTCATCCAGGCTGATGGCTGTGTTGAGAAGAACGCAACTCACGGCTACGAGTTGAAGCATCAAACGAAACTTCATCCCGCCCATCCTATTGTACGATGACCGCGAACAGCAACCTGCGTGATCACATAGAGAAGCACTATAAGATTTACCACCTCTAAAACGATTGCGAATTTTCTTCTTAAAATTCTCAAATTTCTTCTTAAAATTAATCCACTGCCAAACCTGACCTACCGACGTACTTTATTATATTATTTCATCAATATGGATGTGCAAATGGACATCGCGTCCAATATAACCAAGATGGCAATAGCTTCAGAGTGCTTTGAATACCCTAAAGAAGCAAGCATTAGATGCTAACAGTAGTAATTGCTGACATTATAACAAGTCAAAAATAACATAAGTACTTACTTTTTACTATATATCAGTATTCTTACTCTCCGTATTTATAGAATCGAGACGATTTTGCTGAATAAATGACTCACTGTCTCACTGAAGGGTCAATGCTGAACACTAAAAGATGTTTTTCAGATCCTCAGCCAAAAACTTGGCCTTGCCAAGCTTGCTGATCTCCGTAGGACTTATCATCACATGCTGATAAGATTACCTCGTAAGCACCTACACTAAAAACAGTAATTAACCTTACCTTCTAATGCGTAATTAGAAGAGACTTCATGGCCGTTACTAAGCGATTCTAGCAATTATATTATGCGTTTAAATGTGGTTATCATAGAAATAAGATTATCAATGTACTAAAGAAAGAGGTAGGGAAAGTAGACTCCTAAACCGAAGAGGTAGTTCGAAAGGAAGTGTATTATTCGGCCGCTGCATTGCTGCAAGTTACACTTATATTTTTTCCAGTTCTTCGATGATTAAAAATTTCTCTTCCAAAAGCCACCGACTAAAAATGTTGGTTAGGAAGGAAAGCGTTGACTAGGAGCTGTCGACTTCTTTTATTTTGATCAAACTGCGCAACTGTTAGCTATTAAAAAAATTCACTTAGAAAATCTTTTTTTAAATTCAAACATCGGTGAAATTTATCACCGCTCCGCTGCCTATAAAGCCAGTTTTTGGTTGCCGGTATACCGCAATATCTCGGTTTTCTGATACATCGTAGTAGTGATCAATACTTCGTATGCTTCTAAATCATGTGATTCTGAAATTATGTATTTATACCATGTAAATGATTAATGAATATTTGCATTATACCATTAGAACTGATTTGACATTTCCATAACGACAAAGATCATTTGATGTCATGTAAAAATTATTTGATTAGTGGAATTTGGGTATTTAGATTTAATAGCGCATTGATGAAATTATTGTTGAATTTAAACTACGAATAACAATAAATGTGGCTGCATTGACACACAATATAATCAATCAATCTCTGACGAGCAAGGGGGACAGAAACATAATACAAAATTATCAAACAAATTATTTGAAAAAGAAGGAAAATATATTCATTTGATAGTATATGTAGGCCCTGATTTTGAAGTTCCTGTATTAGTGGATTAGCGGCTAAAATTTCTTTGTTCAAAATAATTCTTATCCATTCACCTGTTCTAATTGATGACCTGGGCATCGAGCTGACGAATTTCTTCACCTTTCTCGTCATTTGAGAAGACCATGCAGCGCACGGTAGCCTGATGAGGCCCTGGTCAATCCAAAAATTTTTTTAACGTTTATTATTTATTTTCATTTTTTCTTATGGGCGATTTCTTCATAATATTCATTTTCTCATCTGATATTTCCCAACAACATTAAATGATATTTTGTTTTGGCAGAGAATTTTCCAAGCCTGCGACTTTGGGTAGGGTGGCCCAGTGGTTACAGTTCAGAGTACCAAGATTGGAGCAGAGAGGCGCGGGTTCGATCCCAGATACCTGCGACAGTTTCTGGTCAGAATCGGCAAGGATGCCGGACGGCTAAGCAAAGAAAAATAGTAGCAATGAGTTACGTGTTCGAGACCGTAACAAGCTGGAAATGTTCTGCGACAGGCCTACGGCCTATAATACCCTCTAACCGCTATTTCATTTATTTTTTATTCAGAGCGCATGTAACATACGAACCTCTCTGCACGGCATTCCAAGTATGCAGGGTTGAAAAAAAAATTTTAGCCAAATTTCATGATTTATTTTTTTTCATTTGCATTGGCCGGCCAAAATTTTCGATCGTTGTTTACCATTACTGCGTTTCGAGAATGCAAAAAATCAAAATTTAATTTCTGCATCGCAGCCTACAAATTTACTCATAAATATTTAGTTTATTTTCGGCCTATTTTTGTCTGCTGACTTGACCGGTTGTTTTGCCATCTTTCAACCCTGATTCCGAATGTAATGCATTTCTAACCGTGTTTATATTATTGGAGCAACCACATTAATTCTTTTGTTTCCTTGTCAACTCGCTCACAATTTCTTCGAGAATTTTTGTTGCCCGAAAAAAGTCTAAAATCACAAAATAAGTAATTTTTCATTGTATTGAAAATATATACATATAAATGGCAATATATGGAACTGGCTGGTCAAAATTTTTGTATTCAAATTTTGATGATATAATTACGTGGTCGACATTATGGTCGTGGGTTTTTTCACGTCAAGCTTTTTATTATATCTTTAATAAGATCAGTTATTGAGTCGATATCATTTGGGAGAGGTCAAAATGTGTGGAGAGATGATAGGGTTTATCTTCGGCAAGATCATTCTAACCTCAACTCAATAATAGTTGTTAGCGTGCAGCTACTGTCAATAACAAAGATAATTAATGTTTACTGTACGGCCGTACATTCATCATAACCAATGAGTTCCTAATAAATAATTGGATCCTAGCCGCTTCGTTAGCCCCGTATAAAGTTTCACGTCCTCCTTTAACGTTACTCGTGTCACTAACACTAGTCATGATAATTCTACACGTTTTATCTCTAGGAGTCACGCCATATTTCAGTCATTTTATTTGCTATAGTATTACGCAGCCATCCGTCTCACCTATTTCTTTATGTACAATTTTTTTCAATGTAACCTATACCTTTACTCACCAGGACATCGTCTTCTCAAATTCTTCTTAATCAAATTATTTATTAATAGGACTGCGACTGAACCGTGCACCTCATTGCTGCGTCACGTTAAGATAAGCAGCTGGTGATGTTTTTTCCTTACACTCAGGCTTGAGAAAAAGAGCATACTCTGCTGCTGTAATCTGTTCATGATATGTATGAATCATTTCAATTAGTATCTCAAATTAAAACATTCCTCATTCCTAATTCAAATCTGTTTTTCACACAATGAAGCAACATGAACCACGAACAAATGTGGTAATTTAGCAAAATTTTACACTTCATTGTTTCTGGTGAAGTGACTCAGTCCACGCGTGATGTTACGAGGAATGAATTTATTTATAGTGACACTCCACTTGTTTTGATGCATGCAATGTACTGGATCTAATGACAGTGCACGTTCGATATCGCCTACAATGAGATATTTTCTATAAGAATTTCCTCTTCGTAAGATGAGTTGTGATATTAAGTACACGACGTTTCGTGAGATTTATATCGACATCGTCGTACGCAGTGGACTGCACACTATCTATCGCAGGCGTTACGTTTAATACATTTGTTTGCAATCCGTATAACTGTAAGATTGACTATTAAGACTAGATTTTCCTGTGTTTTCTGTACCTAATTAAGATCTTATTATATCTTAACTAGTCGATTTTATCATTAGAATCGGTAATGAATCTCAGAAACTATAGTATTGTAAATATAATATTCGTTCTATTTAGATCATATATAAAAGAATATACTTATGTCAGTATTTTGTTGTTGATTAAAACTATCTGGTGAGGTCGGGTCGTCAAGTATATCACGATAAGCATGGCCGCGCGTGTTGGTAACTCTGTTTTGTATTATTTATTTGCCTGGCTCTTTTCGTTATTTTTTCGTGTTTCGAGGTGCAACTATATAAAGGACCACAATGTTACCGTTGATTATTAACTTAGGCTTATATATCACTATTATCGGTTTAGACCAATTTTCATTGTATAATGAAAAATCGTTGTTAAGCGTACAGTTGGGCTACCCTCGGAAATCCGTACAACATCAGTTAAAAAAAAAGGAATGTAGTTACTTTATTAAGGTCTGAAATTTTAAAGGGCATTAAAAATTGGGCAGAGGGATATTGCTCTAAGTAATCCAACGTTCCTTTCTTTAATTTTAACTTGACGGTGAATTGCAAACATATAATTCTCTCATCGATCTGGAAGTCATCTGCATGGATAGTACGGACTCGTTCTTTTAGTTCGGACTCTGTGCTCTGAACTAAAGGACGTTTCTGTCACGCTAGACTCCCTCCTTGGGAATGTTTGGTTATGTTGTGACTACAACTGTATGGATAACTTTATTCTTATACATTTCTCTCGTTTGTCTCTTTCGTATTGCAGACGATAGAACCTCCTTTTCTCGTCTTGCTGGCGCTCTTGTTTCTGCTGCCCGTGCTTTAGTTTACATCGTATTCCCCTCGCGCACGAATGTTGCGATTTTTAACGGTGTTTAGTATATACTTCGCAAGGCTTTACCAACTTGCAGGGTGTTGAAAAACCAAGGTTTAATAGAAAATGAGCTATATAAGGGATATACGGTATAGGTAGCATTCCCATCTCGCACCTTCTCTTCTCCGCAATGTGCCTTGTAAGAACCCTTATCTGTCGTGACAATTTTCTTTCTTCGTTGATACTAAAACTCTCAGGAACATTACAGAATATAATACGGACGTTACGTTGATATCATCATTACACCACATAACGTCGCTGACATCGTCATGCACAGCATGCATAACGTCGCAAAATACGGTGTTGGACATATTTCATGTTACATAACACGACATTAAACATGCATAACTTCACATAACACGTAATGACACACGCATCGCATCACATAACACGGCATTACCCAGTGTCACATAACACGGTATTTAGGATGCATCACTTAGCACGGCATTACACATGTATCACATCATGTAACACGGCATTTGCATATAGATCATTTTACATAACACTGCATTACACTTGCATCACATAACACTGCATCACACATGCATCACATAACACTGCATCACACATGCATCACATAACACTGCATCACATATGCATCACATAACACTGCATCACACATGCATCACATAACACTGCATCACACATGCATCACATAACACTGCATCACACATGCATCACATAACACTGCATCACATATAACATGCATCACATAACACTGCATCACACATGCATCACATAACACTGCATTACACATGCATCACATAACACTGCATTACACTGCATCACACATACATTACAATACATAACACTGCATTACACATGCATAACATTACACTGCATCGCATATGCATCACATAACACTGCATCACATAACACTGCATTACACATGCATCACACATACATTGCATCACATAACACTGCATCACACATGCATCACATAACACTGCATCACATGCATCACATAACACTGCATGACGTCATCAAGG